GCCAACAACAAGGGTGAATTCAGCAGCTTTTAAGTACTAGGAGACGACGGCATGAGAAGCAGAAGCAGTGGGACATTGTCCCATATAACAAACAGCCTGAAGGCTTTCCAGGTGCTGCAGTCCATCGGACATCTATTCTGGCAGTCAGCAGTACAAATGCTGGGCAACTGCTCTTGTGTGGGACCATCATACAATCTGGGAACCTGCAGATAAGAGAAGCAGAAAGATGCACCTGTGCCTGAGGTGTTATCTGCCACCAGTCATGCCCACAGACACAGGCAGCAGCAGGGGAGTTGTGCAGAGGGTATCATGGAATCTCCCCCAACCACACCAGGCAGCAGCTCAGGACACTCACTCAATTTTTGGGTCGAAATTATCTCACACCCATCCAGAGCCTGACCAAGTGCCTTTCCTTTGGAAACTGTCTTTTGGTACAGTGGAATCCCACCCCATGGCTGGGGCTGCTACATACTCCTGCAGGATAAATGCTGATCATATGTGAGCTTGACACTGGCATAAAAGGGACTGCAAAATGGGAGAGGGTTTTAATTAATATTTTCAAATAAGTCACAGCTTTCTTTTAGTTGAAGTTTTCATGACTTTTTTCCCCCAGTTTTTCATTTTTCTTCCTCCTTTCCTCCCCTGGTGGCAACTGTAAATGTGTGCATCTTGAAAGAGCAGATGTATGCATTTATTGTGTGTCTGTGTATCTGGAAGTATGTGAATGGAGAGTGAGTCTCTATATATGCTTCTGACTTCTGGAGACACAGGCATTTCAGGAGTGACAAGCGAGCAAGATTTGATGGCTCATAAGCCTCTCATTTCTCTGTCCTTGCAGCATTTAGACACAACAACACAGCATAATTCACTCCAGACTAGGACACAGAGGCTCAAGTGTATAAACCCAGCTGGAAGCCAGGCAAGAGTGTGGAGGAAGGGAGAGACCCGGCAGAATAAGCTCTCCTGGGGCTGTGCAGAAGGCTTGGAAGTCCTTGTGTTTCAGGCATTGGAAGCTTCAGCGGTTCAGATGCTACAAGCCTAGGATTTTGAAGGTAAGATTCACTGTGGGCAACCAAGGCCACATGATCTCCAAACAGGAAATATCTCACAACCACTTCTTTCACCACATTTTTTGCTCTAAACCATATGATGTTGAACAAGGCTTCATCTAGTCTGGTTCAAAGATAAACGCCACCGTTGCTGTCCTTGAATGTATGAAGGAGCAGGAATAAAAAGTAGATGTTAAAGAGCATGGCAGCTGAAACACACCCCTGTTTCACCCTGTTGTTGATGTCAAAGAGACTTGATTCTTTGTTTTCATACACTACAGTTGGCTTCACATCTTGGTGTAATGAATGAATGATGTTCAACAGTCTGGGGGAAAAACCCAGTTTTTCCAGAACAGTAAAAAAGGATGATACAATATAAAGTAGTGGGTGAAAATTAGGCATTGACTTACAACAAAAGATCTAGAACCCCCAAATCAAAAGCTTATGAGCATTGGGATATATAGTTTAGCTTTAGTCTATGGCGCTGTGTAGAAGATGTGCCATCTGAAGTTTACAGAAGTGTTGGTAAGAACAGGAATACAAATGAAAAAAATATGCATGTCCTTTGATGAACAAAATATAGATGATAATGAATGCAATATTTGCCTTTTAGCTGACTAGGTCCTGAAAGGGGAGAAGGTTTAAAATATATGCTTCAGGGATAAATTGTAGATTACAGATACAATGATGCTCTCATCCCAATGTCGTCTTATTCCATGGGTATCAGTGAGTTGTATACAGTGCTTGTGTTTAACTCAGGAGGACTCTTGGCAGTAGTTCAGGCTTGGGTTACTTCCTCCGCCCCAGTGGCATAATAAGCTGGGGTGGAATCCTGGACAAACCCTGAAGGAGGGTGGGGTAGAGGACAAGCAGGAAGAGTGCTAGAGAGGTTTATGTATGCCCAGGACTCAGAAACTACCAGAGCAACACTGTGGTGGCACTTTTGCTGCCAGGGTGAAGAATCCATAGGGATGGGAGGCAATTTTGACACTCCTCCTAAATTGGTACCTAGGGTTTGTGGCCTGCTTGCCCTTCCCGAGTTACACTATTACATCTCCCATCTTCAAACTAGGCACCTTTCCCTCACTTAGCCTAGTGGGGCCCATCATGGCCTTGGATCCTTGGCGGTCCTTTGTGACTTCCTCCTAAAACAGCTGTGGTTGTTACACACACAGAGATATGAACACAGTGCATCGCTGTATGTTGCGAAGTTTCAGGGAAAGCAAGGGTGATCCAAAAGAGCAGGGTGTGGAAGTCTGAGGCTCTCATAGGAATATGTGCAATCCTCTCACTCAGGGCCTGGTTAATTTAGGGCTGTGTGAAGCTTTGGGTGCTGATTCGATCTGGAGGAGATTCAGGCCATTTCGGTGGCTGAATCTCTGAATGAAAATCAAATCAGGAGACTAATTAAAAGGTCCAAATCAATTTGAAGCTCTCTGAATTGATTCAGAAAAGATTCAGAGAACTTCGGCAATTCAGGCAGTCCCTGCCCACTGCAGCAGGGAGCTGGACCTGAACTTCATGCTGGTAAGTAGGGGGTGTGGGAGGGAGGGCGGGAGGAGGGGGGACCCCCACCAGGCCCCATCCCCT